TAACTACCTTTGGAAAATAAATTCAGCAAGCTCTTTCAAGGCATGTTGCTTCAAAAAAACCAACCGAAGAATTTTCTTTTATGGTAAATAAGGCCTTTTCTTCAGCATTTACAAATCCAGGGTTCACTCAGACTTTCAGCTTAAGACTCAGAATTTCTCTTTCGATTCTTCTGAGAGCAGATCAAACCCCAAAAGATGCGCACATGGATGTGGCCACCCTAGTTCTAGTAGTGATCATGACACCTCCATTCGATACTGCCAGGGCCAGATCCCAGTTTGGAAACTGGTCCCTTTCTGCCTTTAGCACGCAGAGACCAGGCAAGCACAGCAGCAGTGACACTGCGAGCTCCACACATATGAAAAGTGAGGTTTAATTCCAGATGTCTGATCCATCTCTCATTCCCTGGAGCAAGCAGAAACTACACTTTATCCACCCACTTGCAGAGCAAGAAAAATCATTCAGCTGACAAGAAAAGACCCCTGGCTTGACAGAAGTGCTTCAGGAGTCACGAAAATGCTGGGTGTGACCTGCAGCACAGCCACAGCAGCCAGACACCAACCCACACTTAATCGAGCATTCATGTCCTGCTACTGATGGTACCTGCAATTCAGCTCACAGAGCTCCCACATGCCTACAGGAGCTGCAGCCAGCACCTTGCTGGCAGGTTACATGTCATCTGCCTGCAACTTCCTTTTCAAAGTGAAAAAGTCAGTATGCTACTGGGGCTCCCAAACCACCTGTGCTAAGCTGTCCACAGGTGGCAACAGGCTTTGCCTCTGAGCTGCGGCACAACAGCACAGGAGCACAACCTCAGTCCTCCCCATGCTGCTCAATAAAAATAAAAAAGGCAACAACTTATTTATTTATTTATTTATTAATACCGGTATTTTTGAATTGGTATTCTAAGATGGTCACTTACTGAAAGACAGTTTTAGCATGCTCTCTCCAGTAGAATACATACCATTAACTCTCTATGGTCATTAATTACAGAGATCATTCTACCAGAGGTTAAAGTGCCCATAGATTTATCTGTCTTTTTCTTGCCATCAGAGCCTTAGGAAAATCCCCAAAGGCTCCTGATACTTCACATTCTGCTTTGCAAAACTTGGTTTTGTTGGGTTTTTTGGGGGGGAGGAAGATGCATCCACAGATGTCCGTTCAAAAATTACATTTTTCCTATGTGTTTTTCATATAGTTACAGTATCTATCAATACTTCAGAAACACAAGTCTCAGTCACGAGTATTTACTACAAACATAATACAGTCATTCCAAGAAACAGCTAAGCAAAACCTTCAGTAGATGGCATGTTATGTTAAAATGTTGCCATTTTAATCTTCCCATGCATACTTTAAAAAATGGATACAAAATGAGAAACACATGTTACTTAGCAAGACTGATTTCCTTTTTTTTTTTTTTAATAGGGTGACAGTTCTTTAAAAGTGTTTCAGAACCAAAGACACTGTAACACTAGGACATAAATTATGAGGCCACATACAGTATATATTACAGCAGATGATGAACACCTCAGGTTTTATCCCTCTGATTTTCCTGGTTTAAACCACAGTATGGTCCTACAACTATATTTCCTACAGTATTACAGGCTATACTCCTAAACCACAACATTTTGCTGTCAAATGAAATAGTTTGCCTCAACACTAATTATTTCAAAACCAAATGCCTTAAACTGTAACATGAGATGACCAGCAATAATTGAAAGATTCTAGGACTTTATCACAGAAACTGCCTATCTTTTGAGCACTGAAATTTCTTTTTTCCATATAAGCTCAGGCCAGAATACAGACAGCGACTGAAGAAATCATCAAGCTCAAGCACCTGCGTGAGAACAAGTAAGACAATTTTGAGTAATGTTTTTAATATATCCTTAACACAAGTCCTATTTGACTTCCAAAAACCTTCGCAGAAAGGAGATTGCACAACCTCAGCTTGTTCCAGTTCTCCCTAAGGCATAACAGATTTTAAGAACTTCATCAAGTCTTTGGTGCAAACTAGTTTAATCTTTTTCGATGCAGTCACTGACAGGACACAGATCACTTCTCACTAATTTTAAGACTGTAATATCTTCTTGTCCCCTGGTCTCTTTCTGCTGGAACTGAGCTTGTCTAGCCTTTGTAGAACACGTTTGCCAATCACATGCAGTCTCTGTAGATGGCACTTGCCAAACCCTTCCTAAGCCCTGATGACCATTTTCGGTGGATTGAGACATTTGCATTTGTCTTTCTTAATGGGCTGTGGCCAAAATTGAACACATTATTCTGTTAACTTAAGCTTCATTAGTACAAAAATTTAAATTACAAACTTCAACAGTACTGCACCCCCATGCTTACTGAGATCTCCGATAACCCTCAGACCTGCTTCCATGGTGCTGCTGCCAGGTTGACTAACTATCTGATTATGGGATCTTCTTCCTGAAAATAGTATCTTGCACTCAAATACAGCCTTTGAACTTATCAAAAACCTCTTGTCTTCCAAAGCAGATCATCAAAAATACATCCTGAAACACCTACTTGTCTTTTTCAGATTTTGTGCTAATTGTGTTGATCAAAGACATCTATGGCAACAAGTACAAAGGTGCCAGAACTCCCCCAGCGCCACTTAAACTGACTTGCAGTTTGATGGTGACTCATAATCATTCCCTGAGAATTATCACCCAGACTTGCAATCTCTAGATCTGGTCCCTTTGGTTCAGCTGTTCTCAAACACTTCAGATGAACAATTTCCATAAGAGCAGCCCTACTGGGTCAGAGGCAGGTTTTTTGTCTGCACTAGGTCAATGCCTGAAATTAATATAAAAATTTGAAAAATAATTGACAGTACTTCCCCCGTTTATTCTCCCAGGCTCTGTGTTCAGGTCAGTGACACCCTGAGCTACTGGAGGTACTCAGCACAAGTAATCCTTAGTGGATTTTTCTTCCATTAATTTGTCCGGCTGCTTTTCAAGTCCCTGTAAACTTTCAATATCCACACACTTCTGAAAGAATCTCCAAAGCTTAACTAACTACACATTGGGTCAAAACCACACCCCTTTTGTTCATTTTGAACCTGCCAGATTAATCTCACACTTCCACACTGTGTACTGATAAAAACTTAGTCCCCACTCAACTTTGCCACATCACTCATGAGACTGTCAAAATTTCAAAAACCTCAAAGCTTTCCTCAGAGCAGCGTTATCAAGTACCACAAAAATATGAAGACTAGATTGGGTCACAAAGCCTTCTCCACCCTGGCAGATTAGGCACAAGGAAGCGCTACTTCATCTTGCTTATGAGAACATTATTATTAATGAGTCAAAATACAGACCCATTATCAAAACAAAGGCACACGGCAATGCCAGAGGCTGAAGGACACAGTATTTAGTGCAGATTATACAGGAATGCCCACTCTGACTAGAAACTTGGGGGTAGGGAAATTAGTTCAACTTACTTACAACTTCTGCAAGTTAATACTGACATGGTTTTGATTCAGAAAGCTATTAAGCCCCACAAGAAAGTTTACTGCCTTTATATTCATACTGCTGGCTTTATAGTTTCACAGTCAAAGGCATAACTGTACCGTCACTAAATAGTTTATTAACTTAGACACATTAAAAACACATACACTAAAAATGCAGTCAAGTTAAATCTTGATTTCTACATTATTAAAAACATTGCACAGGTTTGTAACTTGTACTCTGACAATGTCCATATTTACTCTCCTACCACAACAATACTGAGATCTTTCTTTTGCAGTTATTTTATAAATTGTACACTTCATAGTTAACTTGTAGGTTAGCACAGTTTAATTATATTTAAACAAATACTGCAAGACATTTGCTTGTACATTTAAATTTTCATAATGATCATTTTAATCATTAAATTACTTCCATTTTATTAGAGTTTTTTCACTAAAAAATAAAACTAAAATCTGCAGATGACATTTAACTCACGAGTTCATCTCCACCCTGTTAATTTGTCACACTTGCAACAGAAGAAAGACAGTCCCGTGGCCAACCTTTGTACTCGGATGGCTGTGAACCCAATCCATAGGCCACTCTGCAGCCTGGCAATGCCAAACGAACTGTAAGAAATTAGGTCGCCTCAAAGGTCTGTTCCCCTCCCCGAGACCAAGAGAGGACACAAGTCTCGACATACGACTTCTCTTCATCTTTGTAAAAAAAGGGCCGACAGTCAGCAACATTCAGATGAAGCAATAGGTAGCAACCATCCTTTTACAGAACCTCTCATCTATTAGTTTAGCTATTGTCGTCTTACAGGCCTTTGGTGGCATTTTCTAGTTCAGAACGTGAGGACCAAGCATCAGGCAAGCATCAACAATATATGTGCTGTACTGCAAGTTCTATCCAAGACCATTAAGGGGACAAACCTTTTTAAGTTTTCCTAGTCAGTAATGAACGCGAGTTACAGGAACTGGGTATCAGTTTTTGGTCGTACATGGTGCTGATACATGCTGCTCTCCAAAACCGCAGCCTGCAAAAGTACTTCATGGAGAAATACTCTAAGAGAAGATGTTTTTCCATTGCACTCCCAGTCATGCTAAGTTCGGCCAGTAAGGGCTGTAAAAATTTTATTTGCTGTGACAGCACAGAAATGTTCCTGAAGCAAAGAGGGGAGCTCAGTTGTAACTCTGTAGGGATGGAATTTCACAGAGGATGATACTAAAAAGGAAAAAACCAAACCCATAGAGGAAAGAAATTCCCATATCAGTGGATTTAAGGAAGTAAAGAACAGTCCAGAGGGATTTAACTGCACCTCGCCGGGAAGCTCCGGGTGTAGCAGGTCCGTCCCGCGGAGCGCTGGCGGGAGCGCTCACCCCGCCAAGGGCCCTTTCCGGCCCTTCCCCGCCCCGATCGCACCTGCCCGGCGGAAAGGGCGGCGGGGGGCAGCCAGGGGGCAGCGCCGCGGCCGGGCCGGTGGGCCGGCGCCTCTCCTGGGCGGCAGGAGGGCGCGGAGGGCGGCGGGGGCCGAGGACCCGCGTCCTTACCTGCTGCCGGTGCTCCTGGCGGTAGTGCTGCGCTCGCCGCCCCGCCCGCTGCCAGCCCTGCTACTGCTGCTACTGTCGCCGCGCCTGCTGCGCTGCTCTGCACCGCCCCCGCCGCTCGGCCCGGCCCGGCCTGGCCCGGCACGTCACCGCCACAGGGGCCGGCCGGGGGCGGGGGCAGCGCCGGCCGGGGCGGGGGCAGGCGGAGAGGCCGGCCCGGCCTTCCCTGCGGCCCGGGGCTGTCTGACAGGAGCCGTGGCCCGCTGTCTGCCAGTCCGCCCAGGCACTGCCGTGGCCGCCCCTCTGTGCGGGGGACACAGCACCCCGCAGCCCTGGTGGTGCAGAGGGGCTGGCTCGGGGACGCGCCTGGCTTGTGGCTGGGCCGTGGTTATTCTGGGAGAAGTTGGGTTTCTTCCTTTATTTTTACCAGCGCAGTTACAAAAAAAATCAGTTCTGGGTTGTCTTTGTCTTTCTTGACCATCGCCCCATAAAGAAAGGTGCAGAGCAGGTGGCGGCTCTCCCGCTGCGCAAGCTTCGGCAGTCAGAGGCTGTTTCAGCCCGGTTCCTCCACCAGGCTCCCCTTGTCTCTGTGCAGTCCCTGCCCTGTCCCCAGGGTGTTGCCCTGACAGATGTTACACGGGTGGGAGCAGCGACGGTCTCACGCGCTGCTTAGTGGCACAACAGCATCGCCCTGTCCCCGCTGTGGCTCCTGCGAGGCGACACAGGTGCCAGCCTGCCTTCCCACCGGACTCCGTGGTGGCTCTGAGGGATTTCCCTGGCATCTGTCAACACCCAGCTATTCATCCTGGTGGCTGGTGGTGTGAGAGTGGCCCAACTGGACGGCATTGCATCACGCTCAGCCCTGGCGTCACCACTGAGGGCACCCACAGCCGCCCCTCCCTGACCAGCCGTGCTGCAGCTCTGCGTCGCCTACCTGTCCCTTGGCTTTACCACGACTCATTCCTAGCGTCGCTAGCTGGTTTGTCAGCTTTCCTATAAACACTTTGCTTCTCTCCGCACAATACTTCACGAGTGGCACAATGACTTGACAATATGTGCAAAGCCTCCTTGTTCTCCACTTGATGATTCTTATATATTTTGCTGACAAAGGGAAACAAATGAGTTCATATTTCAAAATTTTGTGTTTTACCTAATTTTCCAGCCCTAGCTTTCTTTAGGCAGGGTATGCTTCACTGCATCCTTTTTAGGTGTTTGGACAACACCAGAGAGAATTGTGAATACAGCCTCTAGCTAATAAATAATTTAAACAAATTTCTTCCAGCCATATCTACCCCGTAGACATGATACTCATAACAATGCCTTGGCTTCTTTTAGGGGACAAAGAAAACTCAGGGAGAACCTGGAGAAACTCAGGGGTTTCTGTCAAGGATCATTATGGATGTACACATGGAAGGAAAATGGCAGTACACAAAGTGCATGAGTAATCCTACATCCTGGGCAGAGCATGGGTGGAGTTAAATCCTGTATCCAGATTAACATTCCTATGACTCCTGAAATGTGCTATGAGCTTGTTTTGGTTTTTAAAACATTCCACGTGCCTGCAAAGCAGCAAGGTGAATTTGACAGTTGCATCTTCACTTGACGTAATTTAGAAATGCTTAACAATTTAGACAAATCAAAATATTGTATAACTTCTAGAAAATGGGAGCTTGTCTCTGGCATTACCTTTCAGGGCAGTACCTGGTATGGTTAGCCTTACTTTTATTTGTAAAAGAGAGATAAGGATAATTGTTATCTGTGGGGAAAAAAGTGAATGAGCAAGTAAATGAAAATATAAATTTGCTGACTGGATAGAACCCCCTCTGTTAGCAAAACAGGATATAATGTCAGGAAACAGTCAACAAAATACTTCCAGTGTAAACAAGCCAATCGGTTTCCCAGTACCATGGAGGCCAAGCAGTGCTGAGCACTATCTCACCATCTGACATGATCTCCCTCATCAGGAGGAGCCCATCTCTACTCTCTCCTTTTTTTTTTTTCCGTGGGAAATTTAAAAATAACCCAGGACACAACAGCATCTGTTCTGTAAATCTTCTGGGAAAATACAGGAAAACTCACAAGTGAAATCTGAGTGCAAGAACTTCAAACTAAGCAAAGGGGGGGGAAGCGGAAAGAGAAAAACAAGGCAAAACACGTTTTACTGTACTTGCTTGTATGTAAGGAGGCAGGCAAGAAGCATTTTGAGTTTCATTCCTAGGAAAATTGGGCAACCCTTTGTCATTTCAGTCTAACCGAGGCTTTCCAGAACACCAGGAACAGTGCAGATGGGTAGGAGCTGCCACCCAGTTTTTGCTTAATAGCTGTATAAGGAGCAGATGCAGTTTGAGGCTAGGAGGGAGAGCAGAGTGCCTTCAGCATCATCTCCCCATTCCTCCCACACCTCAATGTGTCAAGCGGGGGCAAACAGCAGTGGAGGAGCATCCATTCACAAGCTGCAAGGCACAGATATGGTCTGTCAGCACAGCTGGCGCTCAGGGACAGGCTCAGACTGTACCCATCAGAACAGGAGGCTCTGTTGTGAGGAACGAGAGGTCTATTAGCACCATCTTAAATGTGTAAGCACCACATTCTGGATGGCCTACCAGAAATCCCATGAGTATACCAAAGGCAGAAAGATCACCAATACAAGGGCAGCACGACATTTTAACAGGACTAGTAACTGCACATATGCTTCTGCTGTAGCCCTGCTGCAGAGAACTGACAGTATTCCAGATATCCAAGGTGTCTGGGTTCAGCCATTTATTAAAATTGTATATTTTGATATGAATCCAGGTTGTTAGGGATTATAGCAAACAGTTTCTATCATTAAAGTTGCCATATATTTTTTAAAAATATATTTTAATTGTGTGAGCCACTGAGTTTTGTCAGAGCTAGTTTTGCAAGGATGAGCAGCTAAAGGACCCCAGGTGACTTCTCAGAAAACCCTGAGAAGATATCATGTATGTTTTAATTTAAAGAATATCATATAATGTCTTGGATATTTAAATTTCAATGAACATAAATTCTTATGTATAATTCAGTGGATCAAAATTCAGACCATTCAGTATAAATAAAAAAAGGTAAAGGCCTTCACACTTGCATGACTAGAAATTTCACTCCTGAGATGGTAGATCTCAAGTGCTTAGTACCATGAATGTTAAGTTTCTCTTCCTACACTTTATTATGAAAAATTAAATGCAAAAATCAGGTTTGTCATTGACTGCAAGCCTTTGCTGAATGCATCTCTCCATACGGAAAGCTTATTGTGTTTGAATCACGTTGGAATTAGCTACAGCAGTTGTACACAGCCCATGTAATGGGTAAAGTTCTGCCTGTAAGAATGTCCATGGGCACTAAAGACACAGCGAATGAGTTAATGAGGCCAGAAGTTCATTTACTTTACATGCTTTGTTGACATACTCAAGTGCATATGAATGTGATGTAATTACACTGTATCTGTGTAATGTGGTCATGTTAAATACTTCATGGCTTGCCAGCATCAACTCTTGGAGTTTCCAAACTGTAGAGTATTTTAGTTTAGCACTTCGATACTTCCTAAAATTACTTTCTATTTTTGCAAATAATTTCTGAAAAAAAAATAAACCTAAATTCACTGGTGTTAGAACTGTTTTAGAATTACCCATGCAGAGTTTACAAATGTGGCTATTATTTGTCTGGATAAAGAATAGCTTTCTCATATGTTTGCAAAAGAACATTTCTAACTGGCTCAAGGTTTAGCAGCTTATGTTTAGAGACAGAAAAAGAACAAGAAAATTTGCCGGGATTTTAGCAGTGGTAGATGACGTTCCTTTCAGGATCAACCTTTGGTTTCTTTCTGAGCAGGCTTACTCTAGATAAGCACCATTCATTTCCTTATCATGTAAATTATTTACTGGAAAATTGGTGTGTAAGTCTCACTTTATCTGCTTCCTTTCACTTAGTGTTATGTGCACATACACAATTCTCTGATTTTGACAGTAGTTAAATGATCCTTTTTTTTCCTCTCTTTCCCGTACAGTTTACATGAACACCTACTTTGACTACGCCTAATTTTTTTAATATTCCAACTTTTCCACAGGCCTTCTGTATTTCAAGAGCTTCTTACAAGTTGCAAAAAAATCAACATTATGTTTTAAGGTAAAAGCTCATTTTTAAAGTCTTCCTGTTTCATTTCAGTAGGTGAGTAGTTTCTTCTTTGACAACATGTTAGTTAAGGAAGGTTGATGGTTTTGCATTTTCAGCCCTACCAATGTTTGACTGTTTCTGAAGCTCTGTTTTTTTTTAATGGGACTAAGTCTCTTGGACTGGCCCTGTTTTTCAATTTCCTCTCCTTAAGGATAATTCAATTAAGCAAACAGATTATTTTGAATTGTGGGTAGCTCCAGAGAACTAAGCTTGCATAAAAAATAGCATGAAAGGAGGTAAGGGGAATCCCTGACTTGTGAACTCGTAATCCTTCTGACTGAAGTCCATTGCTTTTTGCTTTACTTTTGTGAGCAGATTCATTCTATAAACACAAATGGTGAGGACAGGAACATGAGATTACAGTACCCCAGGGTAGCTGGAAGATATTCCTGGAGTCATCCCAGTATTTGAAGACAGATGGATTCCATTCCTGGTACAACACACCCCATTGTCTCTGGGGAAACACTTTTCTTCTGTTTCTGCTGCAGCTTCTCTCTGACAAAGATATCATGGGCCCACTCTCACGCATATTTAAAAGTAGAATGGGCCCCCCTGGTTTAGATATTTCATCTGGAGAGGGAGGAGCTCTAGTGTAGGAATGAGAACCCAGTAAAAGCCACACAGATAACACATAATCGTAATTACCATAGAGCTGCGTTTTTTTAATTTTTGCTTCTTGCTCCCGCTCCCCCTCAATGCACTCTGTGGTCACCTATATGGATTTCCTTTTTGGTGATGAACAGCAGTTGCTGGTAAAATAACCACAGGTTCATCTGAAAAACAGAAATAGCCTGCAGTAAATAGGTAACCCGTAGATGTCAGGCATAGGGCTGTCCTTCCTTCATGGAGCAGAGGCTACTCACCTGCAGTTAAATGAACTTCAGTATGGATTCGGTTGATCATT